ATCCAATATTTTTGTGAAAGACTGCCATATAATTCCTACCTTTTCTACTTTTCCAGATTATGTATGTGTCTGGCATTTTGCATTTTGCTTTATAAAGAAATTACTGTCTGTAAGGCTTTATTTCCTTTAACCGCTAGGGATGTGTCGAAGTTCTGTTTTCTTTAAAGCCCTTTTCAGACCCTGATTATATTTATCAGTTTGTTAAAGTGATGGCAATCAGACAATTCAGACATGGGTCACTTTAACATTAATGTTCCTATGACAGAGAGCCATTTGGTGTAAAGACTCAGCCCACTGTTTCCCGTAAGTAGATTTTTGTGCTTGTAGCAATAAGTATTGCTGTTATTGACTAATTAACTAATTAACCACACTTCTTATTAGAAGCAAGGTCTCTCTTGTGGAATTCATGATGGATAAACGCTTGTAGGTCTGACCTAACGAGTTTGGTAATTGTTAAAGAAAAGTGACCAAGACATTCAGTCAAAGGAGCGCACCTCTGAAAAGGGCTTTCAGCTTTTATGTGTGATTTACCAATCACAGTTAAATCCCCATGTTTGAGATGAATTCTGTACTGCATCGTTAAAACGTAAAGTAATCTTTGTCCTTTTGCTCACTTCACCTACTCTGGTGTACTTGGTTAATAGACCCATGGCCATCACAGTGAATTTTTAATGCTTTATATCTTTACGCTCCCCTGAAGTCTTTAAACAGATGTCTTTACCTCAGAGCAACAAGAGGGCTAAATTCTGTATTTATTACCTTATTTACTACCTTTAAGAGAGGACTTTTTTTTTCTTAAGTAAAGAGATTTAATTTGGCTTAAAGTTTGCTAGCAGGGCTTTTTTATCTGTTAAATGCTAAAAAAGAAATATTAATAACAGGCTTGATGTGCATTTCATGCTGTTTCTTTTTCCTTTTTTTTGCTTCCAGTGTGTCAAGTGTCAGTTCTTATGCCAGTGAGTAGGACTGGTAGGTGTTAGGAAGCACTTAAAAAGCCCTTTGTTATGTGTTGGATTGAATTATTTGTGAAATGTTCATTTAAGGAGAGGGAAGCCATTTATTGTTGTGACCTTCACAGTGTACGTGAATGCTTTTCCAGTGATATTTTTTTTCTTTTTCTTTTTAACATATTTGGATGCAAAATCTGTCTTGAATCGTCATGAGCTTGTTAGCGTTGAGCTTTGTTTTCCTGCTACATGGACAGCGTTTCCCAGTCTTGTTTTTTTTTTTTTTTTTTTTTTTTAGGTGTTAAATCAGTTGTGTAAATGAAACAGGGACCAAGGTCAGGTATATTTTCGGTATATATTTTGAGAAATGTAGATTATATTTTATTAACTTATTAATGCCCTTGATTTTGTGTAGTTCTTTTTTTTCCCCCCCTTTCATTGTGGGAAAACAAAAATCTTGTGATTTGTTCAGTTTGATTATTTTCACTCTAAATTATATTAAATATAGATGCGTGTTTGTTGTTTGTGTGTGTTGTGCAACAGACATCGAGAGGGTTCGAGGAAAGATTTGCAATGTGATCCACCAACCTGTGAGTCAGCAGAACATATTTGGCTTTCTTTAATGTGTCATTGTTTCGTGTCCTGTTACTCTTCTCCCTCCTCTTAGATTGCTATTGCTGTGTTGTTGCCGCCGCGTGCTGCGCTTGCCGTAATGGTCACAGAGTACCTGTCTGGGTGTCTCACTGTGTTTATTCACAGACATTCCTCTGAACACTGCTGTTTCTTTTCATGCGTGCTTATAAGGGTAGGGGGAAAAAAAGTCCTTTTACAGTGTCTTGAAGCACACCGCAACATCTTCAGTGTGGCTGACGGTTAAAGACCCGAAGAATTGGTGTTGGTGAAGCTAAAACCAGCCGATGCTTTGAATTTATATAAAAAGTAACCCATGTATCTGCAGATGTAATTCACTTTATTGATTAAATTACTGACAAACACAAATCCCAGTTTTTCACAATCACGATGTTCTTTCATCCCTATTTGTTGTAGTGGTGGTGAATCAGAAAACACCGACAGATGGCACTGAAACATTTGTGGAAAGGGATCTGCTCTTTTTAATGCTCTAAATTTAATGATTTAGTGTCATGTGGACCTCATTTTTCATTGGTTAGTGTTTTGGTTTTGTGCTTTAAAAAGTGTATCACGATGCAAATCAGGCTGGGTCCAGCAGAAAACTGTGTGTGTGTTTCTCTGTTAACAAAACAGAGTGTATAATTGTGTGTGACTTTCTGTTTGATCTGTTTCCTGCTTTCTGCTTAATTATTATTTGTGGGTAATTGAGTCTGTTAAATTCAGTACATTCCCTTATTATTTATAGTTATATTGTGATTGTAACAAGTGTATATACCTTCCATATACACCTCTATAAATATATATAAATATATATATATAGATATATAAAAGAACCAACCAATATGATCAGTGTTTGTAAGTGGTGGTCCTGTACATAAAAAGATTTTTTTTTTTTCGTTGGTTTTGTTTGGTTTTTTTCTTGTCTGTTTTGTGGAGGGATGTTAAGTTATGGCCATTTGAAGGGTAAACTGCATGTTCTGGCATGCGAGCCGAGGTGGGGACTGAATGTCGATCACTGGTTGGTGGCAGTAGTCGTTTCACTGCTCACTGTACTATAACTCTGCTCCGGTAGCGCTCAGGCTGCCAGCTGACCTTTTTTGATTTTCCTTTTTTGATCCACTCTGCACTAGTATTTACTCTTTGAAAGATAATAAGGGTTGTGTTGTCATAATTATTAATTCAAGACAAGTGTAAAATGCTGTAAGGATGTAATTCAACCTTTCTTTTTTTTGTAGTTGGTTTGATTTTTTTCCTCCCCCACAGGGATGTATAATTTGTTTCATTTATGTTGGTACTCCAGTGTAAAACATGACGTATTATTTCGGCCTGGGTGTTTTTGCTTTGTGCTTTCTGTCTGTTGCGAAGTGCCTTCCAAATACTGATTGTGCACAGCAGTGGATTAAAAAAAAAAAAAAGGTCCTCTTTTCTATAGGTTAATTATTGTACAGAGTGACTCGCATTGACACTTTTGTATAAAAACACAAATGTAAAATATGTTCACTTGGTATTTTATCATCGTACACGATTGCTCTTAAAACATGTGAGCTACATGTTTTGTTATAACGTCTTTGGACATATTTCAATATAAGCTTACTTTTCTATAGATATTTGTTTTTGTACTCTGTTATTGAGTCTCATCTCTTGTCTTGGTACAGAGGTGAGCATCAAATAAATTGCAACTTAAGCCCCCCCAACTGTTGTCTTGTTATTACTCATACTTGGTCTTTTGCAGCTGTAGTCCAGTTCCTTACAGTTTTTCGTGTGCATTTAGAGATGCTTTTCTGGAGATCATTGTTTGTAATGAGCAGTTGTTTGAGTTACTGTTGCCTTCCTATCAGTTTGGAGCAGTCTGGCCCTTCTCTAACCTCTGGCATCAACGAGGCATTTTCACCCAGAGAACTGCTGCTCACTGGATTTTTATTTTTTTTTTCACCATTCTCTAAAAAAACCCTAGAGGTTGTTGTGAGGAAAATCTCTCCGAAATACTCAGTGGCGTGTTCACGGTCACTTAAATCGCCTGGTTTGTTGTGAAGTATTTCACCCACGTGATCACTTCTGCTTTAGTGCCAACAATTACCCACTTTGTCGCAGTGCCACTCTTTTTTGACAAAATGAGAACCATCATAGCTTCTGTTTGATCGTGATAATAACTGTAATAATGTAGTGTCCTGTGTTTTAATCTAACAAAGTAGACAAAAGACTTTAATTAAAATGGGTCTGAACTGAAAGGTAAAATTAAATGATCTATATTGTTTTCCTTAAGCTACAGCTAGGTAACTTTAAATCAAATTACTGAATTTATGGAGTTTGGGTTTATGTCATGTTTTTAAAAAAAAAAAAAAAAAAAATAAAGGATGTTTGACCTCAAAGAAGAAAATGGAGTATGAATATGTTCTTCCTCTTTGTGTCATTACTCTTTTTAGATTTTAAATGTAAGAGGGCTGAATCACGAGCACAAATTAATACACTAAAACTAAAATACAATGCAGATGCACAGATAAGCCATGCAGAATGAACAACGGTAAAACCACAAGTTTGGGGATTTAGACTATTGTAAACACTTGGTTTAAGACATTTTTTTTTTTTTTACTCTTTGATATGTATGCCACTGCAGCTTAAGCTGGGAGGTCCTGCCTAGTTGTTTTTTAGGCCTGCTGCTGTTGAGGCAAAGTAAATTAGAAGACAGTGGGCTTGATGCTTGTTTCAAAGTAGACTGATGAACTGCCCCTATAAATTAAATAATATTTCGGCATGACTGTCACCTTTGTTTATTTATTTATTTATTTGTAAAGTTGATAGCTGTAGCTTAAGCGTGCCAATCTACCTGATGTGTTGACCCTTTATAATAAGAGAACAGCTGACATGCTAATATTAGCTTTATGTCTTTGTTATGTTGTATTATGTTCATTTGTTGTGGGAGTTTGTCTTCAAACTGCATGTGAAGATGGGCAACGCACCTATACTGCAGACAAAATCTTTCTACAGGTACCATTAAGTAATCTGAACCTGACACGGGGCCAGGTGATTTTCTTCATCTAATAATTCAAGAATTTCGGTAAGTTCAGTGGTTTTTCTTACCATCAAAAGAAGGACAATTTCACTTATTTACAAATTTATTAAAACACACAAAACATTGCTGTGTTACAAGTATTCAAATTGAAGGGATAAACTGAAAAAACTAACTACTAAATGAATGAAAAACTAAATGAATCCTAATACTGTATATAATTTGCTGATGTTTCATGTGAATAACTATAAAAGCAGAGACCAGGATTAAAGACGTGTTTTATTTTTAATTGTACACATTTACAAATGTAACATCAGCCCTTTGTGTATGTAATCTATCAGAATTTTGCTAAAAGCAATAACTGCACTTGGTTGCATAAAGGCAACTTACAGTTGACTTACATGAGGAAAAAAACGTTAAAATTTAGTTTCAAGACCAACATCAGTGTTTTTAATATCACCTGTCCTGTTCTTGTAATTCAGTTTGTTGAAGTCCTCCATGATCTCTACCATTGTCTTTCCTTTGGTCTCTGGGACAAAATATATAATAAATGCTCCACTACCAAGTGAGTAAGCCACAAAAATCAGGAAGCAGAATTGGCCAAGTCCATCCTGTATGGATACACACACAAAAAGACTGTTAGATAAACAGCAGGGTGGCATAGAGTAAATACACATATAAAGATGGAGATACATTATGGTATATCCACAGTGGCTATCTTACCACAATATAGCCAAACAGCATCCCTACAACAAACATGCAGAGCCAGGAGATGGTCCCACAAACCACGTAAGCAGAAGGACGCCAGACTTGTAGGAAGAGGTCAGCACAGAGAACCATAGACACTCCAGCTGCAAGAAGATTCAAACATTAAAAAGCTATTAAGATATGAAGCTCAGTCAAGTATGGGCGCAAAAATCTTTTATATAGAAGTTGGGTTTAAAAAAAGGAGTAACTCACAAGGCCCAAGCCCATAAATGCAAATGACACAAAAGATCAGAGCGATGTTCACATACGGGATCCATGAATTCAGATCCTGTAAAAGTTGGATTGATGGAATGAATCCTCTAACATACAACAGAAGAAGAGGAAATGTGCTGAATGTATTTACCTTGAATGACAACATGACGGTAAGAACACACATGGTGATACCCATCAGTAGATAGCCATAGCCCAAAAGTTTCTTTCTGCCAACACGATCAATCAAGAAGGACTGATGCACAGCAAATAAGCAAAAACTGATAACAATGTTCTTCATGTTTGATTATTTTTTATGAAATCTTATATTGTGTTTTTTTGTAAAGTATCGAGCATGTTCTTTCCTCTTTCCCAGTTTTTACTTCTGTATTATTTATGTAAATGATAAAATGTGCAGAATCGTGCCCAAGAAGTAAAACTAAAAAACATTTTTAGAATCACCCAATAACCAAGAGCTTTTTAGATGTAAAGTCTAGTTTATGCAACTTTACTTACACACAACGTTATAGCGATGAGCTCTGTTGCTCCAATACCAATGGCCAAGTAATGCATCTTGTCCTCTGGCACTCCAGACTCACGGAAGATGTCAAAGGCGTAGAAGCACAGCTGAACAAGAGATGACAGATGAAAGGGAACTAGAAACTGCAATTTCGAACAGATTTAAGTTGATAACTGTAATATCGGCAGAGAAACATAAGCATACAGCATTGATGCCGCAAAACTGAATGCCAGCACAGGGGATGGCTAGAGTCAGCAGTTGCCATCGCACACAGCGAGAGGTGAGCAGATCCTTTACAGTCTTTGCCTTTTCTCCCTGAGACCTCTCCCGCTCCAACTGCATGTCGTCCAACTCCATCTTTAAGTTGTCCTCCTGCCACAGCCACTGTAAAGCTGTTGGACACAGAAATACCACAGGGATTACATCCAAAGTCTGTTCCATCAGTCTGCCAATGAATAGATCTTTACTGAGGTTTACTAGTGTGGTCAGTTACAACATTAAAAGTTCTGACGAATGAAAACAATTGTTTCTTTACAGTGGCAGTATCAGTTCATTTTTGCATTTTACATAATGGAGGAGTATAAAAATAGCCAAGATTCCAATGTGGTGCATTGGATGGCTTTGGAAAATGCGAAGGAAAAGAGAAATTTTGGACTTTTCACTGTATTTTCATAAGTTTTACAGCTTTCCCTGCTGATAAAGACCTCCTCTATGACCAAATTATACTCCTGTAAATTTACACATGTACTTCTGACAATTTAAGCCATGCAGAGTGTATTTCAATAACATGTTTCAGTTGAAATTGCTCTTCTTTGTTGTTTTATTTTTTAAATATGTATTTGTGGCGTGGGTGTGGTCTCTGGCCAGCTGCAGAGGAGGGGTGACACAGTGAGCTCCCGGGGCGGCGCAGGGGCGGGGTCAACAGGTGTGCTGGGTTCTGACATTGATTGTGTGTCTTTTTATGTTGGCAGTGACAGTCGGAGGGAGAGCGGACGTGACAGCACAAAGAGAGCGGGAGTGGCTGTGAATGAAACCACAAACTCCAAATAAAAGTTTTGCTGTCAAAATAATCGCTCCAGCGTATGTTTATTGGGTCAAACGCTACACTATTTAATCTTCTTTACATTGACACAGAGTTTCACTGGTCCAACACACATAAAATCAAAGTGGGCTGTATGAGGCCCTCAGTGTTAAACGAGTTTGACATCCCTGGCCTAATATATTATCCAGGTCTCAAATGTGACGTGTAACTTATATTGCTTCTCATGGCCACAGGGAGTGAATTCTGTGTTTGCCATAAGAAGTTTGGTGCACTGTCTTGAAAAGCACTTTCTGATACACTTTAACTGTCAGTTCAGCTACTTGTTGGTTTAAACTCTGTGCTGTTGCTTTAAAAAAGGAGAAAGCTTTGGGGAAGGACTACTTTCTGACTGACCAATCTGCCTTATGTTTTTCAGCCAGATCTAGTCCTGGCTTGTCATGTCCCAATTTAAACACACCAGCATGCTGAATGGTCAAAATGTTCAGCTTTAGGCTGTGTCCATCTTTCATTTACAGCCCACACCACCCAAACTGTCCTCAGTAATTTCAATGGCTAATCCTACTTCTTCTAAGTTTGAATTTTCAATTTCTTTTTACATTTGTATTCAAATTTAAGAGTTAGATCCCTTCTCTACCGTGTCCACTCACCTTTTTTGCACCTTTCAGTGTCTCCTTTATCAATGTAAAGGTACCGAGGTGCCTCTGGAAAGAAGAGCAGCATCACAAACTGCAAGATGGCAGGAATACCACTAACACCTAAGAGATATGGCCACATTTCATCTGTTCCCATGATCTCCCTGAACAACAACAACAGCAAAAAACACAAGTTAAAAACTAAAAGGAGGAGCAACAAGAAAAGCAGTGCTTCTTCTTTCATAAAAACATTCATAAAGAATTACACTGCTGGGATAATTTGAGTCCCACTGATTAGCAAGTCAAGCTTCAGAAAGTGTTGTACTTTAATTTGGAACAAGTCATTGATTATGGTAGATAACAACTAACTGGGCAAGTGCCAGAGAAATGTCTCTACCTATGTCATCTAGGGAAGGACGGATGTTGTTTTGCTTTGCTGTGTTTTAATGTCAACTGTGCTTATTTATTTTTTTATATTGCATGTTTTGGTGATATCTTGTGGAGTGTTTTTCAGGGGGAGGAAGATACAGCGCCAGCGAGCAGGGACGCGGAGCGAGCGGTTCGACTGCTGCAGCAACAGGAGGCCAGATTACGCGTCTGCCAGAAATTAGAGGCGGCGGACGGGCCGGTGTCGATTGGCGGTTACAAAGAAACGGCGGGCAGAGTTGAGAGCTCTGCCCACCCGGGTAAGTCTTTTGACTTGTCCCCTTTTAATGATTGATAGCTGCCTAAAAGAGTAGTGACTGCCGCTGCCTTCCTTTCTTTAGCGCATCGGGGCGAAGAACGCGGAGAGGAAGGCGAGGACGCCGCCGGGTCTCTCTTCTGCACCGCTTCACTGGATTTTTAATTCTTAGTGACTTTTATACCGTGGCGGACGCCACGGGACTTTTAATGTTGTGTTTTATTGATTTTTATTGTGTTGTCCCCTGGCCAGGGTTGTCTTAATTCATTTTATATTT